AAAATTAACAAGAATAATGTATGAAGCTATATTTTATGGCAAAACTAAACAATCAATGGTAACAAAATTAAAAAATGAAAATAAACAATTAATATTTAGGTAATAAAATTCTTATCACGCATTCGAGAGCCACAAAACAGAGTCGAAAATGATCTAATAACATACGTTCTAATGTTGGTGTAACTATGGAGGTTCGTTCTTTCAAGGTTATGCAAGTATTGACCAATCTTTCTTCGTGATCACATATTCTATTTCGCAGTACGACCTCTGGTTTTCGTAATCAACATGACAAGACAGTACAGTTTGTTTAAAAAAAAAATACTATATTTGACCAATTTTCTAAGATGACATCATTAGTTTTCAAAAGGACGTCATTTTGATTTTTCGAAAAAAATAAAAATAAAAAATTTCATTGGCCATGTTGATTTTAACAGAGGTGACATATAAAAATTATAAATATTTTCATTTTTAGACTATATTGTGAAAAAAACCTTAGGAAAAGGAACTATTAGGCTGTCCGGTGTACTCTCAACGGAGAGCCTTCGTTGCCACCTGGAACCACCACAATGGTCGTTCACACCACCCCATCTGCTCCGTTGTACAATGATTGTGGTCACTCGTTGTCTTGACCACAAACCACCACGACCAATTAGGTCTTCTTCTTGTATCTTTCTCTCTCATTCGGGTATCTCTCTTCGTTGTGGAGAGTATACTAAGTTTAAAGTGGAAGCAAGGCTGGTTCTGAAGAATTAAACATCTTCAAAGGACCATGACGAACAAGAAAAAAAATCCCCTTATCGTTGTTATAAGTTGTTATTTTTAAATAAAATATATAATAAAAACAATTGGACCTTGTGTGGCTGCCCACTTTGCCCTCCATGAGTGGAAGGAAGGTGGATGGAGATGGTAGTGACGTGGAGGTGGATGTAAATCGTGGTCGTTGCCCGTATAAGACTAGAAGGAGTGGGAGATAAACTTCCCTCACTTTTGGTGGATCATACCTCTTTTTCCCTCACCTAAAAGCCAAAGAGTAGGAGGGAAGCCCTCCCCTCACCTTTTTTTTTTTTTTTTTTTAATAATTATAATTAATTTTTTTGTTATGAATTATAATTTTTAAATTAATACTAAACATAAAACTTAATTAAAAATAAAAAGCATTTCATTAATTAAAATAAAACTTACATTAAACCTAAAATATAAAAACGTAGAAAATTAAAAACACACACACACACATAAACTAAAAATCAAGCAAACCACCAATGACCTACGGAAATTTTTTTTTTAAATTTTTTCTCTCTTCTTCATTACGAGCTCGAGAGTCGGTCCCGAGAGATGATCAACGTTTTCCATCAAAAACTTCATGTCTTCCATTTCTTGTCTCTCCGCCAGCTCTTTTTTCCTTGTTTTTTCTTTTTTCCTTGTCGAAAGCCAAACGTTCGGAGAAATTTAGATTATATCGATCAAACGACGATGTTATCTTCCGCATTTCGTCAATGACCACGCTGAAATCAGATGCACTCGAAGAAGTCCCTTTTTCCTTTCTCTTCACTTTGTCCCTACTCATTGGGCGTTCAATTTCTTCTAGCTCGAGTTTGTCGTCCTGATTTAAATCTAGATTGACCTGAGCATCGGAGGAGGTTATGTAACCACTAGAGCCCGTTTTCGTTCGCTTTGATTGTTGGACTCCAAAAATAAAATCTCGCTCGTATTTTTTCCACCTAGGACTTCGGACCAATAATTCTAACAATCATGCCACTTGAATGGTTTTCCGACTTCCTCAAGGTAAAACTGCAACGCTTTTTGAAGTATTTCTTCGTCGTCATGGCCGCTTTTTCGTTGGGTTTTTAGGTTGTTGTACAACCTGTTAATTTTTGAAACCCCCTTTGCTATTTCTCGAAACTTCGAGTTAAGTTGATGTTTCGTACGATAGTCGTCACATTTCCTAGCTCCTCTCGAAATCGTTCTAAAATGCAAAACCAAAAATGTTCTCCCGGTTATGTGTTTCCCGGAATCGAATCTTCAGAAATATCAACCCAAGTTTTGACCAAAACTAGCTCTTCGTGTGGAACCCATAGTATTGATTTTTGTCTTCTAGGTTGTACGACACCCTCACACACTTGTTTTTTCACTTACGTCTTTGTGGTGGTGGTGTTGGTTGAGTTTCGGGAACCATGTCTTCTTCTTCCGCGTCATCCGATTCATCGACAAGTTGGTGGTGGTGTTGGGTTTGAGTTTGAGGTTGATTTGGCGATTGTTGATCCGGAAACACAACAAAGTTTGAAAACATTTGCACCGGAACATTTGGAACTTGCATCGGGTAATATTGGCCAATATTTTGGTATTGAAATTGTAGTGGGGATTGAATGGAAATATTGAGTTGGGGGCAGTAAACTCCTTGCTTGGATGAATCGATAGCAAAAATGTTGCGAGAAGGGATGTTTATATTCGAACCATGACTTTTTTTCCATCGATCTGAATTTGGGGTTTGCTTGTCGGGATTTTTTTTTTTTTTTTTTTTTTTTTTTTGATATAAAGTAGAGAGAATAGTGTAATATGTTTAAGAGTTATGTGTATATATTTATAGTAGTTGTAAAAGGATAAAAAAATAAATAAATAAAAAGAAAGTAGCCGTTACAACCACAAAATAAAAAAATAAAATAAAAAAAATCACTTTTTACTGTTAATCAACAGTAGTTTTTCAAAAAAATAAAAAAATAAAAAATCGGCCAATCACAGCAAGAGAGAGAGAGAGAGAGCGGGAGAGGCTCCCCTCTCCGTTTCCCGCACACACCTTCCCCGCGCCGACGGTGCGGTGTTCCGCCGGGCGGGAAGCCTCCCGCTTCCTTTCTCCGCACCAGCTCCGTCCGGCCTAACAGATGGTCTTATGGCTATTTCTCTTCTAAAATTAACATAATTATTGCTAATGAGTTTGTTATTTAATGACCGAATTCTTCATTCTTCATTTAATTAAGTTAGAAACTTTTTAAACTTTATTTTATACATGTATTCTTTATTCTGTATACGTTATAACAAATACCGATTAAAATCATGAATCTTTAACGTAAATTACAATTTACCCTTTTTTAATACATTATTTTCATGAAGTCTATACTTTTGTCATTACAAGAAGAGTAAACGTGACCGTAGAAGCAAAGAAGGGAATTATGCCGTCAAATATAGAAACTGCACATGAAACTCCATGTAAACGCAACTGACCGTTATTCCGTTAAATAGCTTGCATATGCACTTCAATCATCCACAAACCTATGCCCATTCCATACGCTTTCTTCTTCTAAACCCTAACCCTAATCTCATCCCCCAATCCCTTCAATTTCATTGCTTTAACCCCAAGTAAGCAACAACATACATATACATGCGTATTGCACCAATACCACGACATTGTTGCCTAATTTGTCACCAAAGCCCTAAGTTTCACGAACCAATTGGTGACAAATATGAACTCCATGGAAGCAAAGACGAAGAAAAGAAGCTTGCTTGGTGGAGACAAGTTGTACGAGGGTAAAAGAAGTAAACAAGACGATTGGAAGCTTGTGCATAAGAAATATGGAGATGGGATTGCTTGGTTCAGAGGTGCAATGATAGGTAAAGGAAGTTTCGGGTGTGTTTTTCTAGCAAATTTGAAGAAACCCAAATCGAAATACAGCTCTTATCCACCGATTATGGCTGTGAAATCGGCGGAGGTCTCTGCTTCTGGTTCAATCCAAAAGGAGAAAGAAGTTATGGATAACATTCGTGGGTGTCCTAACGTGATAAAATGTTTTGGCGACGAGATTACAAACGGAGAAGATGGTCAAATGGTGTACAACTTGTTGTTGGAGTATGGCTCCGGTGGAACCCTAGCTGACCTAATCAAGAAATCCGGTAAAAGCTTGCCGGAAGTTGACGTCAGACGCTACACCAGATCAATTCTACGTGGGTTAACTCACATTCACAAGAAAGGGTACGTTCATTGTGACCTAAAACCTGAAAACGTATTGCTTGTAGCGAATTCAAGAGATGGCTTCACTGCTAAAATTGGGGATTTGGGATTGGCAAAACGAGCAAAACAGAGCAAGAAGAACAAGTTGGGTCCTTACTGGAGAGGCACCCCAATGTACTTATCACCTGAAACTGTTGTTAATGGTGTTCAAGAGCCTCCTTCTGATGTTTGGGCAGTTGGTTGTATTGTGTTTGAGATGTTGACTGGAAAACCACTTTGGTTTTCTGAAAAAGATTTGACAGTTGATGAGATTTTGAGTCGTATTAGTGATGATGAAAATGAATTGCCATGTGTTTCCAGCGGTATATCTACAGATGGAAGGAGTTTCTTAAAGGGTTGTTTGTCTAGAAAGGTTATGTGTAGATTAAGGACTAATATGCTGTTAAATCATCCATTTGTAAAAGGTTTACTTGATGATAATGTCAATGAGGTTGACAAATCACAGAAAGAAGTTTTTGACATAAACAACATCACCTCATCATTAGCTTTCTCCCATGATGATGGTGATGATGATGATGATGATGATGATGATGGAGAGTTATGGTCGTCTTCATTTACAGATGGATCAAGCTATGATGGTCTATCTTCATGGTCAGAAGGAGATGTGAACGCCATTAAAAGTGAAGAAAGTAGAAGATTCCATCAAGTACAAAAATACCCGATTACATTAACTGTTTCCAAGGGAGTTTAGCAAGATTTATTGTTAGATATTCTTATACGTGTTATGTACAAAATATGTAACATCGTTGAAATTTAATTAATTCTTTCATTGATATAAAAGGAAACATTTTTTAGTCAGGTTCAGTTATACAATTGGAAACAAATTCCCTACAAAAATGGCACAAGAATCTCCTTTTTCTTCTATTGAAACTTTCTTAATCTTGACTGCGTTTATCTGTGTGTGTACATGTACAAATATATACACACATAACAAATAACCACCACTCCATATTATCATTCATTTTCAAGAAATTAACCATTGTCGCCATTGTTGCCACTCATGCATTTTAAGTTTTATCTATTACTCTACACCCATTTGTTCTTCATTCTCCACTCAAATGCATTTAATATCACAACGATCCTCAACCAATACCCATCTTTCAGCATCTTCAATCGTTATCTTTCTGAAACAAACGTGTCATCAGAGATCAATTCACGCCAAACTATAACAGTGTTGGCTGTATCTAATGATGATGTATTGCGTTCATCTGGAAAAAATCAAAATGATATGCTTGATAATCTCATGAGGGTTCATGTTGTTCTTGATTATTTTGATGTTGAAAAGCTACATAATTTGCAAAACGGGACTACACAAATGACAACACTGTTCCAAACCACTGGTCTAGCCCTTGGCGAACAGGGTTTCTTGAAAGCTACGGTTTCCAAAACTGGAAATGTTGTTTTTAGTTCGGCGACTAGTGGAGTGCCTGTCGGGGCTATTTTGGTAAATTCAGTGTTTGCTGAGCCGTTCAACATATCGGTGCTTCATATTAGCACTGAGATCGTCCCACTCGGGATGAATTTTCCTGTTGTTTCTGATTCAAATTCAAGTTCTCAGGTAAACTCTCCTGCCCCTACCCCAAAAACGTCAAAACCACGTGTGTACACGCCACGATGTGGCCACAAAGTTGCCCCATCTCATGCGAGATACTCCGCACCTTCTCCAAATCCATATGGAGAATCACCACCTGAGGGCGCATCAACTGCGCCCTCAGGTGGTTCTGCAAATGCACCAGCATTTGCAGAATCACCACCGTTGTTGGCTCCTAAGCTAGTACCATCTCATTCGAGATCCCCAACCCCAACCCTTTCCCCAAATCCACCACCAGCTGTAGAATCACCACCAAAGGGTGCACCCTCTGCAAATGCACCGGCATCTACAAAATCACCACCTAAGGGTGCACCGGCACTGTCACCCTCAGGTAGTTCTGCAAATGCACCGACATCAATAAAATCACCACCTGAGGGTGCACTCTCAGGAGGTTCTGCAAATATTGCAAATACATCGGTATCTGCAAAATCATCACCTGAGAGTGCAACATCGTTGGCTGCACCCTCAGGTAGTTCTGCAAGTACACCAAAATCACCTCCTAATTTTATAGAGGCGTCGCCAATATCACCACCAAAGATTGCAGACACTCCCGCTGAACCACTACCCCAGCTTGCAGATACTGATCAACCATCAGGCATTGGAACTTCCAGTAGTAGTCTTGTTGTTATTACCATGGTATTATCATGTATCAGTTTAATTATCCAAACATAATACAAAAAATTATGTTCTTTATTGTCTTTTCTCATGAAATGTGTTATTTTAGGTTTATAAGTTTTCTACATAAACGTTGATTCCAATGGCAAAATGCCCCGAACATGCATATGCAAAATCTTCAACCTGAAAGTAAATATATGAAATCAAAAGGTTAAAATGGAACAGCAATACGTCACTTACTATATACGTGTGGGGTATTAAATCTGGTTAACGAATTTGGAGTTTCCATTGTATATGAAGCTATAATAGACATGAATATAGAAAACTGAAAACTGAAAACTGTTATGTTACACAAACCACCCTTAATTCATGATAATTGACATGGCAGTCCGTATGTTTCGAAAGTATCATCAAATAAATTTTGAGCCATCATTACAACATTACACATTTTAATATTTTACTTATCATACACACACAGAAATACGCTTGAAACAAACATGAAGTAACTAAAATGAACTTATATCTTTGAATTCCCTACCACAAGTATTGAACTGAAGGGGGTGTTTTTTATATAATTTAAAGATGAGGGGGCAGTTGGTAATGCACATTAACGTCGCTGTACAGACTCAAAAACGAAAAAAAAGAGTTGGAAAAGGAAAGTAGAGAGAGAAAGAGAAGATAGAGTGTGTATCGGTGAAGAGCGATCATAGAGAGAGAGAGAGAGTGCTCTTTTGGCTTTGAATTAAACAGGCAAAGATGGAAATTTTAGGCGAAGAACATTAATGCGGCGGAGAAATTTATACAAAAAGGAAACCCCGATATTTTGGAACAACAAATCGAAGCTAATGGTATCATTACCTTGAGTTCCAACGAAGAAAAAGATTGATGATTGTGAAACTTAACACCTCAGTGATCGGAATTTCTATTTTGGAGGAGCTGCAAAAAGGTCAGAATTGGATATTTATGTTTACTGATAAAGTTGATTCGAAGCGTAAATATCTTCAATCCGTTGTATATTTGATTCCCAATTTTGCATTGAGAAATTGAAGTTGGTGTTGGGAAATCTCCAAATTCAATCTTTTTGTTAAACTTTACACATTTTTAAAGTTACGTTTCGGGTACTTGAAGATTCTTGAAAGCGTGAGCATGTTTCGTACACTGATTCATGAGTTTACTTGGAGTTGGATAGAGATCTCTTTTAAAAAATTAAGGGTTTTTAGATAGTGTAGATGTGAATTAGAATTAGGGTTTATTCGTTTGTAGATTAGAATTTGAATAATTCGGGATTTGGGTTTTGGAGGGAGAGTTAGTTAAAACTGTAATATGCGATTTGATTCTCTGAATCAGTACGGAAAAACCCAATTGAGAGTTTCAATAAAAGTGTATTCGTTACTCGTTACGTAAATTGTTGTAGAGTAGTTTAAATTCATTCAGGAAGATGTCATTCTATAGAAGAAGCAAAACCCTAATTTAGTTCGTCAAATTTGGGGGTTTTTTTAGTGAAGTAGGAAATATATAGTTTTGTGAGTGTTTTATGGAACCACCACAGAAGCATTCAAGGATCAATCTTGCCGACATGAAAGATCAATTAACCAGAAAGCTCGGACCTGAAAGATCAAAACAGTATTTTGATTACTTGAAAAGGTTTTTGAGCTTAAAGCTGAATAAGATTGAGTTCGACAAGCTTTGTTTAAGAACTATCGGAAAAGATAACATATCACTTCATAATCAGTTAATTCAATCACTTTTAAAGAACGCTTCCACCAGAAAACCCCCACCTCCTCCTCCGCCGCCACCACCACCACCACCACCACCGAAGGTTCACCATGAAAATGGATCAGTTACAGTTACAGCTCCACTTGGGATTCCATGTGGGGCCCGAAAGGTGTCATCAAATAATCGAAAATATGTTACTGCTTTTGACACCGGTGGATTGATGGATACGATCAGATTAAAAGAACGTATGGATCAAATTACAGCAGCACAAGGTCTTCAAGGAGTATCAATGGATTGTGCTAGTGTACTGAATAAAGGATTAGATGCTTATTTGAAGGAGTTGATAGGGTGTTTTGGTAATTTCAGGACACCTGTCAAACAACATTTTGGAAGTTTGGGGAGAAGTGAAGAACATGAAGGGAAACGAAGGATTTGTTTGTTAGATTTTAGAGTTGCAATGGAAGTTAACCCTCGACAGTTAGGGGAAGATTGGCCCTTTCTGCTCGAAAAGATTTGTAATTGTACTTGTACACATGCTTTTCAGGAATAAAACTCTGTGGTTTACTTTTGACTTTTGACTTTTACTGTAAAATTTGTGATTTAATTTAGCTTCAACAGCCTATCTATCAACATCTTTGTAACTGTAAGTAATCCGTGATCAAATCATGTAATCAAATTCATCATTATGTTAACAATTTCTAGGTACAAGTTCATAGGGTATAGAAATTTACATATACATATATTTACGTATATAACTATCTACAGAGGAATAGAGAGGAAGATGGCTCACCGGAACCATGCATCGTATTCTGCCACCAGTTCATCGGCTGCTTTGGCCGGCTTCGATGGTAGACGGTGGACCATTTCGATCCTGTCTTACCGACGTCGTTTATATAGAGGGGTTTATGTATGTATCTAATGATACGTGGTATGTTTGTGGTGGCTGATTTTGCTTTGTTAGTTATAAATTATTCAAAATTGTGACACGTGGAGGAATGCTATGGGTGCAATGCTATATGTTTGATACTTGTTTATGGGTAGGTGTTTATTGTTACTAAAAAGCCCCTGAAGTTCTTTTGGTTGAACTTTACATTCCCTTTACTTCAAATTCACATATTACTTGATTAGAGAATTTGTTCTGCAAGTGTTTCCATCGGGTATGATTCATTCCTAAACAGATTTAATCAATGAATGTTGATTTACCACCCATTTTTGATGTCGTTTTGATATCTGACTTGATTAATCATTTTTTAAATTGGTTTTGATTGGTTAAATTTTAATATTTATTCTTTGAAATTCTAGAAACATCATCATACAATTAAAATACGTGAAATACTGAAATTGATGTGCTTGATACCGGTATTAATGACATCTTAAAACGCATCATAATAAAATGTAATTTATTGGATTAAAAGTAGATTAGTTTCTAACAATAATGCGAATAGCAAAATGGTCGACATCATAATATAAGAATTTTTAATTGGACACAACTCAAAACATAGGTAGAAAAATTATAATAACACAAAACTTGGTATCCACCCTTGTAATATCGATAACCATTTTGTTTGGATTCATTTGTTTTGCTTTCGACGGAATCTAAAAAATACTAAATCGGAAGATTCTAAAAAAGATGGTAAACTATAACAGGTCTATTTGTCTTAGGGTTCGTATAGAAGGTCATTCGTCAAACGACAGCAATATTTTGGATGTCTGTGTTGAGTATTGAATATTTGTGAAATTTTGCATTTTAATAATCAGGCTATTCAGGCTCTCTTAGTAAAGATAAGATTCTAATATTTGATGTGTTTGATTGTTAAATAGAAGAAATTTGATTTTTTTAATATGTATTACATCTTAACGGTATAGAAATGTTAACATAATAAAGTATATGGACTTATTTTATATTAGGTTTCTATTTAGCTCTTTAGCTAAGTTAACATTATATATTTTTCATATTTATAGTTGTATTTTTTTAAACAACTTTTCCTTTCAATAATAAATCTCACCTATATATTCTTTATTATGTTATCAACTTACATGGTATAAGAGCTATATTCAATCTATGATTGATAGTTTGATTATTATAAAAGACTTTGTAGCAAACACAACTATTGTGCATTTGGTTTCGATCTTGTCGGGGTTCGGGGCAACGCCAAAATCCATTTTTTTCATGGTGTTGTCATATTTTCTTGTTTCGATCTCTTTTTTGTCAGGTGTGTTTTCCGATCTCATTAGTATTTGATTCTCATTGTTGTCGGTTTAGTTCTCACTTTTCGTTGTTGGTTATTTGTTTTTGTGCTTAATTATTGACATTGTGGATCCAAAAGGTGATTCTTTTGGGTCGATTAGTACCAAAGTTGATGGCAATAACTACACTTACTAGGGTTATAGAATGAAGAACTTTTTGTAAAAATAAATAAGACAGATGAGAAAGCTATTAGTTATTGCAACGCTAGTGGATGCATGTGAAATTGATAATTCTAGGATTATCACTTGGATCAATAACTATGCAGTTCAATCAATTCACACCTAATTGGTGAAGTATGATACGATAACAAAAGTTTGAGATCATTTGGATAGATTGTACACTTAGTATATCTTTGCTAAACAATACTAACTTTATATTTATACTCGAGCCCTCAAACTGAATACAATTAGTGTTCATGATTTTTATGCTGTTATATCTGATTTAGGGGATCATCATAGTGTTCGTTGAGTTGAAGGTCTTCAAACCTTACATTGTTAGGTTAAAAGAACAACATTTAATGTGGTTTTGATGGCATTATGATATGATTTCAAATATGTGGAGCAATTCTCCATTATATCCTTATTCCTACAGTTGATTTAGTTTTTCATAAGTTGATTGGAGAAGAAATGTGTATCAAATCTCAGGTTGACAAAGGGTCTAAAGCTTCAACTACATTTTTTTTACCATGACTATGGTCTGCAAATTAGTTTCGACTAACCCTAAATTTGTCTTTGATGAATGTGCTTTTTTCAAACAAAAGAATTATTAGAAGTCCCAGTGCCCAATGTTACTTAACAAGGTAAAACACCAACAAATTACGTCACAACAAAACATACCATTTAGACAATTCTTGCCATCCTTTCATCCATGCCTTTCTGGTCCTACATCACAGGTACCTCGTCTAACACATCGTCCACCATAGTTCATTATTGTTGTTACGCGTTCTATAGAGATTGATCACGAAGCTGCCATCAAGCCGTCATGGGATTTGGATCCACATGTTTTTTAGAAGTTCAGACAACATATTGACTTTCGTCTTGCTTCCAGTTCAACGTCAATGTCTCATTCAGAGTTTGTCTTCTTTCAATATTTCAAATATTACTTTACCCTTATGAATTTTAGATTCTGGTGCATGTTATCATATGTCAACGTGTTTGTCATCATCTATTTATTTGTATACTAGTTCACATACTTCTATTATATCTGATATATCAATACCAATAGAGAATGTTGGTTTTGTTGTTACCCCTCGTATTTCTCTCATTGATTTCTATTATATTGCTAAACTTGCTTTCAACCTTTGTTCAGTCAGCTATTTCAAATCCCGATATTGATCTTAAAATTTTGTCATTTTAAGATCCTACAAGTGAAAAACGACCCTGATCACATTACGATCCCAATCTCACCTCTCTAGTTTTATAATGTAGTCGATTATCAAAATGTTGTCTATTCAACTTGAAATCGAATATCACAAGTTGCAAGAAGCCTTGTAGAGCATCAACATTTCATTAATTCATCATGAATTAGGGACATCACACTCATTATGTCTTTAGTTCTACATGATCAAAAAGATCTTTTCTAGTTAAGTCGTTTTTTTCTTAATTTTTACAGTTTGTAGCAACAAAGAATATGGCTCATGCTTAAGAATTTAAAGTTGATTCCACTATCAACGTCTTAATCAATATCAACATATAATATATACTTCACACCCACTATCTTGCGAGCAAATTTGAATATGAGTTTATTTTGGTAGAATCTTTTGATCCCGATCCGATCGTACAATTAAAGTCTTGCAAAATGTAAAACGATTTTAAGTAAGATCTCGATCTTGACAACCTTGATGAGATTCTTGACACCCTGATAGGAATTGCCTACTTTAAGAGAGCATTTGAAAGGAGCGAGCATTTGAGAGGAGAGAATAT